GAGGGTGAGCGAGCGGGCGGGGGGGTCTCGGCGGCGGCGCTGCCCGGCCGCCTCCCGACGGGCGCTGCGGAGGCGGAGGCGGCGGCACCGGGTGGCTTCTCGCTGCGGGCTCCGCTCCCGCCCTCCGCCCGTCACGCTCGGTCGCGCCCGCCTCCCGCCCCGCCCGCCCGGGGCCGCGTCCTGCCCGCAACCGGGGCTGCCCGGGCGGGGACAGCGCTCGGCGGAGCGGGCATAGAAGCACGGAATGGCAGAACGGGGTGGGTGAGAAGGGACCTCAAAGCCCCCCCAGTGCCACCCCCTGCCCTGGGCAGGGACACCTCCCACCACACCAGGTTGCTCCAAGCCCCCTCCAACCTGCCCTTGAACCCCTCCAGGGATGGGGCAGCCACAGCTTCTCTGGCCAACCTGGGCCAGGCTCTCACCACCCTCACACCAAACAAGTTCTTCCCCACAGCTCAGCTCCATCTCCCCTCTTGCAGGGTCAAACCCTTCCCCCTCCTCCTAGGGCTCCCCTCCCTCATCCAGAGTCCCTCCCCAGCTTTCCTGGAGCCCCTTGAGGGACTGGAAGGGGCTCCAAGGTCTCCCCGGAGCCTTCTCTTCTCCAGGCTGAACCCCCCCAACTCTCTCAGCCCCCGCTCCCAGCAGAGGGGCTCCAGCCTTCCCAGCATCTCCGGGGCCTCCTCTGGACCAAGCTCTGTGGTCCCCAACACAAGAAGGACACGGACCTGTCAGAGCAGGTCCAGAGGAGGCCACGAAGACGTTCAGAGGGCTGGAGCCCAGAGAAGCTGTGGCTGCCCCATCCCTGGAGGGGTTGAAGGGCAGGTTGGAGGGGGCTTGGAGCAACCTGGTGTGTTGGGAGGTGTCCCTGCCCAGGGCAGGGGGTGAAACTGGATGGGCTTTAAGGTTCCTTCCAACTCAAACCATTCAAGGATTCTATGATACAGGGGGCTTGGAGCAACCTGGTGTGTTGGGAGGTGTCCCTGCCCAGGGCAGGGGGTGAAACTGGATGGGCTTTAAGGTTCCTTCCAACTCAAACCATTCTAGGATTCCATGGTATGATTCTATGATATGATTCTGTGATACATGCCCATCACCAACTCGGCATCCTTGTGCCAACGACGTTCCCAGTGGGCAGAGAAGAGGCCTGCGACGTGCTGCACTGCAGCTGAAGCAAACACGAGATGTTGGCCAACTCCTCCGAAAGCGCCGTCAGATCTTTCACATCCACATGAAGCAGATGGCGTCGCAGATTTGAAATCTTGTTCCAAGAGAAGTACATGTAGGAAACCACACAGAAATATAAGTTTGTTTATTCAGAGCGTTTTTGCGTTGAATGTTACATTGATTAAGAGACTTTCCAGCTTGCGTAACCTTTATTTCCTATGTGCACAGTTCAGCGGAAGTCAGGCTTGTGCAAAACTGCCCACATCAATCCTTAAGGTTGATGAGATTTAAACACATCAGCTTTAGGACGAGAAAGGCTGAATCAGCCCCGCTGGGATTCCAAGCTGCAAATTCAGAGTCGTAAGCGTTTAAACCTGAGGACACGGTTTTGAACTGCAGACTCGCTCATAAATACATGCCTTAATGCTCAATATTCAGTGCAATAATCAGGTTGGGTTTTTCTTTTCTGTATTTTGCCTTTGCAGGAGTATAGCGCACCGATGTCTTAGGGAGATGAATGAACATCACAGTTCTCATGTTGAAGGAGAGGCAGGAACCAAAAAGGACTTTAGCCTGGCATAACCTCAAAGAGTGGCTCCCCAGAAACTCCGGAGACACAAGGAGAATGCAGGTACCTTTGAAGCAGCTGGAACGAGAGCTGCAGGCACTGACAGACTCTCTACTTTCACCTTTCCACGGGATTCACAATTTGCACTAAGACTCTCCCAGCAGCAAGAAGCTGTCCTGATGACACACACATGGATTTACTTGCCAGTGAGGTGGGATTATATCCCTAAGTAAGGCTAGAGCCCCAGTGGTAATTAGCTGTACACTGATTGACTTGGACATCGTAGAGACTAAAATAAGAAGCAACCTGTACACGTCCTCAGAAAAGACGCTGCGAAGTATCCTGAAGAAATGGTGAAACAGTTTGTGTTGAAGCCATTTTGGGGCCAGCTGGAGGCAAATCACCACCTAATTAGGCCATCTAGCCATCTAGTCTGAGCAAGACTAATCAGGAGGGGGAATGGCAATTTCTTCCAGCTGCTTTCTGTGTGCGTATTTTATTTTCTTAGGTGGGGAAGCTCTGCAGAATAGATGATGCTGTGGTTACAGCGCATGACTGGTTCTGCTTTCATTTCCCACATGGTTTTAGGCAAATCACTTCATGCCTCTGTGTTTTTTGACTTTTCCTCCAGTGCAAAATGTCTCTTCTCCCAAGAGACGTTCTGAAGATTGAAGTCATTGCGTTTTAGTGACTTCCGCACGGGATGTGCTGTGAAAGTATTTGAAAGTAATTGAAAGTATTACAGAATTGCAGTGCAGGGAGGCTTCTGAAATCCTGGCGCTGTGCGAGTGTTCCTTCAATTATTGTGTGGGACTGAGGGAATGCTTTTAATCTACACTTTGTAATAAATATTGAACTGTAAAAGCTAAATAATAAACCTCAAAGGCAGGGCATTTTAAAGCTAGGCTAATAAGGAATAAACAGGACATTTAAACTAGATCTTTCTTCTAATCTTTTAGTGATAAATGACTCAATTAAGAAAAAAGCAAAGACAAAACGTTGACATGAGCTAATGGGTCAGAGGGTTCCTCTGAAGCTCTCCGGTTTGACAGTTCCATCCCATGCAAGCAGGCTGCAGCGGGCAGGTTAAGAGAAAGTAACTGTGACAGTGAAGTTCATCAAAAGGCTGGATTATCCCCCCATTCACAATGCTGGGCTCAAGGAAGATGGAAAACTTTATGACGACTCTGATCCAAAGGCTGCTGGTGTGACCAGAAACTTCCCAGTGCTGCCCAGAAAACCCTGCTGGGGGGCTGCCAGGGAGCTGAGCTGCCACCCTCCACCTGGTTCCTTCCCTCCCAGTAGCTGTTTGTAGTGTTCACTGGTCGTCGGGACATTTACACTCTTACTGAAAACACTTCTTTGTCATCAAGTCTAAATAATAAAGTGAGCAGTGTTCCTGTGCCCCTGGAGACATACATACTCGATATGCAAGAAATGGAATCGCAGGGTTTGAATATACATACGTGTCATGTCTTGTTTTCACACTGTGGAATAACAGCCTGAATTATAGCTGGATAATTAGGCTGAAGAGATTTATTGAGGATTAATAAATGCTGCCTAACAGATGTTCCTCCCCAAAACACTGTGAAAGACATTGGCAACTGTGAAAATGTAAAGGAAGGGCAGGAAGCAGGAGATGGGTCTCTCAGATGTAACTTGGAGATAGCTGTCGATGGGTTTGAGCAATCTCCTATCAGGAGATTAGCTTTACTTTGAGACACCACTATTCACCTTGATGCTCCTCAGTTTCTTAACATTTTGTACTTGGGACCATGTTGTATTTGAATTTGAATAGCCAACTCTGTCCGAGCCTGATTTTTGGAGCCCTAACTCACTGCTTTCACCAGTGATCTTTGTCGCTCCATTATTTCCTCAGCCTAATAGAGAAATCGCAATTAACTAATGGTTAATTTAATCTTGCTGTCCGTATTAAATCCCTTACTGCAAAGCCTAGCAGTTTTTAACTCCGGGGATGAGAGAGAGAAGCTCTGCCAGCTTTCCCATGGGAGCATCATCCACAAATCCGGGAAGGGACCAGCGTCTGTGCTCTCCAGAGCCGCCTGCTCATGCACCACCCGAGCACATCAGCTCGCTGTGACCTCCCAGCAAACTCCTAACTGGCCTTTGGGTGCTGCAGTGAGTGGGGCTTGCAGAAAAGAGCAGCTCCCCTCCAGACCTATCCAACGTGGAATCTTGTTTCTCTCACTTCTTATAAATATGGGTGAGAAAGGTAAGTGGAACATGCTGGAGCAGGAAGAGGTGACAGATGGTGGATATTAAAAAGACTCTTTAATTACAGGATTTGGAGAGAGGGTCCTTTACGGAGATAATTTTTTAATTGTTGCTATTTGTAGGAAAAAAATCCCAGTGCTCCCAAGCAGTTCCCAGTAGCAAAAGGCCTGGTCTCTGAGCACTGTTGACTCTAATCACTTCAACCCAGAGAAAAAGAAAACGCTGTGCTTGTTAGAACGCCTCGGTTAAACTTCAACTTCTTCTGCAGAAAAAGTGTTTGTTTCCTTCCATCTGCTGCCTTTGCAAGAAAGGAAAAATCAGCCTGTTCAGATACCAGGAAGTTCTTCAACATTTGAACAGCTAGCTGTAAACGCAGAAACAATAACATGCATAAATTATCATACCTAAAAATACCCCGCATGCCCGTCACCCATATAACCCAGCCCTGGAGCAGTTCCTCAGCACCGTAAGCCTGCGTGAAGTCTGCAGAGACACGGGATGTGGGCAGAGCGGGGCAGCTGTGCCGGCAGATGCACGTGCCGGGCTCTCTTGCACCCTTGCAGTTTTTCCTCTCATCAAAACATGTTTTGCTTTCACCGGGAGCTGCCGGCTGCCTCCTACGGCTCCGTGCCACCGTCTCTGCCAAAGCAGGGGAGATTACAGCGGGAGCCAGACCCTTTGCAAGTGGCGGAGACCCACAGCATCTGAATTCAAACCAAATCCATCCTGACACTGGGGCTGTGTGAGCAGCGTGGGAGGTTCTATAAAGCTGGTCCTCAAATTCAGCAGCTCTCCATACCTCAGAGGAGGCAAAGTGCAGCAGAGGAGGCAAGGCAGGCGGCAGGGGATGGGGTGATGGTTTGATGGTTGTCCCCAGCCCACTCTGATGGCAGACAAACCCGACAGCCCTCAAGTCACCCCAGAGAGGGACGTGGCTGTCGCCCCATAGCTCGCTGCTGTGGGAAGCCCATGGTGTCTCTTGCAATCAATTCCTATGCAGTCTGTGCCTCCGGTATTTGCTTTTCAGAAACCTCGGAGCCCTTGCCGCGTTTCCGTGGTAACGCTGAGCGATGCGATGTGGGTTATCTGCAGAATCGAGGTCCTGGGGCGCTCTCTCTTCCGAGCCCTGCAGCAGTTTTGGCTTCGCACCCCAGGAGCTGCAGGTGCACTGCAGTAATGGTGATGTGTTCCTCACCACGACTCCCCATCAGCATGTGGGTCAGGACGTACGCTCACCAGATTGCCTTTGTGCCGGCGATACCTGGAGAATGGACCGAAACAGCCCCAGGACGGGGATTGTTGAGACCTCAGCCAGGTCCCCACTGCCCCTCCATCCCAGTGGAGGCTCAGCGTCTCGGTCCTGTGCTCACAAACCCACCAATGCTGTAACTCCTGCCCTGTGTCCATGGCACCAATGGGTCTATCACACAGTATGACCCCGAAGGGAAAAGTAGAAAAGCTGTTTCGCACAGAGCGAACACCCAGGCTGCCCTGTGCTGCAAGAGAGCTGGGGATGCTGCTGCTGTCAGCCCTTCACCCAGCACTACAGCCACCAAAATACTTTCCTGCCTGCTGGCTAACCACTGCTGATGGAAACACACAGCACTTTGAATTTACTCAGTCTCTGTGGCCTAAAACTCTTCCTGTGCCCGACCACAGCCGTCTGGCTACAGCCCGTCACACCCATCATTCCCCATCCAGACGCAAACCAAGCCAGGGCTTCTCAGCATCCACGATGAGACGGTATCAGGAGCACTCAGTCTAGCCAGGAATTTAAATTATTGAAATAAGAAGGAACTGCACAGGCTGGATCCTAGCAAAGCAATTTGTATATTATTCTTTCTTCTAATGAAAGTGAAAAGCCGTCTAACTTTGAGGTAAGAGCTTTGCATCTCAACAACGAGCCAAGACTTTGCAAGGAGAGGTTGGGCACGTTTCCATCACAGCTTGAAGGCAGCCAGAGCAAGAGCAGAAAGGTCTTTTTGGGGATACCACTGCTGTCGGGAGCAGCACAAACATCCACAGGTCATGCTCTGTTCCTTGTCCCCGCAGCTGAAGCCCCCAGACAACCCTGACGTGCCCTGAAGTGGGTCCTACAGAAGGCTTCAAGTGCAAGAGCTGCTGGTTCCTGCCAGGACACGGCTGGTGGCTTTGCTCTGGGGACAACAGGTCACAGCCAGATGCCCAGAGCGGCCGAGGGGCTGACAGGGGGATCCCCACAGGGATGGGGACACCCCAGCAGCAGCATGAAGAAATTAAAAGATCTAATAGCCTTTTTAACGCATTTGGGGAAAATGTTGGTTCCCAAAGGGCATAAAGCATATTTCCAATGTTTGTAACTGACCCCAAAAGAACATGGTTAAAAAGTTACCTAAACGCTTTGTATAAAGTTGTAATAGAACTTTAATTGAACTTTAGCTGAACTCCTGAAATCAAAACTTAATTGGGCCTTTTGCACCTAGACTAGATGTAGGAACAATTAAACCTAATTGCGTCCTTGCACATCCACCAGCACTAGATGTAAGAACCATTAACCAAAACTTAGATCAAACAAATTGAATAGTGAAAGGATTTACCGTCTTGAGAGCTCACCAAGGGCGAACCCAGTCCTGGTGATACCTAAGGCAGATTTTATGCATTTTATAAGTGGTTAAACTGTAGGGAATCTTCTTTTAGAGAAGAAATGTAGCTATTTTAGCAACCATCCCAAATGGTTTCAAGGACTTAGTAAGATAAGAAAGGATGTCTGCGGCCCTGAGAACATGGTGACCTAAGACAGGGATGCAGTAAATATGGACATTGTCTGACAAACAGGTGGTAGCAGAGGGATCATTAGTTTTAATGAGCAATTAAACAGTTAGAATGTTTTGCCAACATGAAAAGTGAGCCAAAGGACAGGTGAAGAAGATGAAGATTGAGGAAGAAACGACCCTCACTCAAAATAAGGACCACCAGAAGGCACAACTACGCACGCATGCTCAAAAGCTTATTATAATACGTAAATAAATTCTCAGAAATGTAATGAATATGCTAATGTTTTCTTAGAATTACATTGAATATGTATACCTGTTGTATATATATTTAATTCGACAACAGCACCACAGGAGGAGCACCACAGGAGGAGCTATGCCCTGCGCACCCGGCGCCGCAATAAAGAATGCCTGATTTCTGAGCTTTAAGTGGAGTCTCTGAAAGTTTTACCTGGGGGTTTGCGGTGACGCCGGGGGAGCGCTCCCGGTCCCTGATCCGGGGGGCAGGACGACAAGACGTATTTTCTGTGGAACAGAGCCCAGATAAGAGTGTGTCTGAGAGAAGCCTGAGGAGATTATAATACCAAAATGCACACTCTCTTGTAAATAAGGAGCACGCTAATTAAGGAGAGCTCCCAAAACTTTTAAAAGATGAACTGGAGTGTATATAAAGGATGAGGGATGGTAAAGGAACTGTAGCTCACCTGCGGGCTCAGCCGTCGGCCTGTCAGAGGCCTGTGCTCTGCGGGCACCCCGCTCCGTTCCGTGGAACTGAAATAAAGACAAATATTTCGATATAGTGTGTGGATTATTTTTGCACACGGGGCCACGAACCCTTAATTTAGGGTCAACATAACGCCGATTATCCGAACGGCTGGTTAGCAGCCCAAGCGCTTCATTACTGGGTGTCTTTAACCGCTTATTTGCATCCCAACCCTGAAGCGCTGACCTGCGATCCCGGCGGGGCCGAGCACGGCGGGGCCGCCTCCTCCCGCCGTCAGGGGCCGGGCCCGGCGCTCACCGCCCACCGGCGGGGCGGGCTCGGAGGGCGGCCCGGGCG